CAGGAAAAACTTCTTCATGGTAAGGGTGGCCAAAATTTGGAATGGGCTTCCAAGGGAGGTTGTGCTCTCCCCTACCTTGGGGGTTTTTAAGAGAAGGCTGGATAGGCATCTGGCTGGGGTCATCTGATCCCAGCCCTCTTTCCTGCCCAGGCAGGGGGGCAAACTCGATGATCTGTTGAGGTCCCTTCTGATCCCAGCATTTATGAGATCTATGAAATCCCCTGTGTACCACTAGCTACAGAAACCAGTGTGCCTTATCAGTACTAGCCCACTAGACTGCTAGGTGTGACCTGACCTTTCCCCATGATAGATGAATGTTGCAGATACACTGCCCTCATTGTAAGCTCTAAAACTGAGCTATTGGCTTAGGGTTCCCCTCTTATACATTCCTGTCTGGTTAATGATGCTCAAGCAGGAAAAACATCCTACACACTGAACACCTCATGTTGTAAGTTTCTTGGGGCAGGGTTCTTGTTTTATGCTGTGTGTATAAGCCCCAGGTGCCCCTGGCCACCATGCAAGCCCTGTCCCTAACTCCCTGTCACAGCATGGAAGCAGACAGGCAATACTCATGTAAACTGAGGACAGATGCCAGGCAGCTGCTCCAGTTCCTGTGAGACCGATGGTTGTTCTTACCGGTTGGTAGGTCTGGGGCGGCTTTGGTCACAGAGTTCTGCAGTGCCGTCAGACGGTTTTTCACCATGCGCACTCCCTCTGCGAATCGCGTTTCCTGCCCCTTCAAGAACTGCTGCATTTGGCGAATGGCAGTCAGCAGTTGCTGTTTGTTGAGACAATTCTGTTGAAAAGAAACAGCTGCTTCAGTTCTCAGAGCATGTCGCGCAAGGGCATCTTAGCTGCTTGCATCTATAGCAGCAAGAAATTCAGGAATAGCTCATTAAGCACAATTAGATAACAGTTATTTCAGTGCCCACTTTCCTGCATGAAATATGTGCTCTGTCTCCATTCAGCAGGGGTGTGAATGTGTCCAATGACACACATGGGCCGTTCCAATGATATGCTTTCCAATGACTACTAAACAAGAACGTCTGCAGGACAGGAAATATACTTATTGTACACAGGGCCACTAAACTATTTCAACTTGCCTATCAAACTTTGAGCCCTGTGGCAACATCCCTGGCAACATCCCTGCTTTGGGACCCCAGTTCACACCATACTTGGCCCACTGCTCCCTCACTTCCCTGCCTCCCCAGGCTATAACCCTCTCTGCCACATAGGACCTAAGGGAGATCCTATCCTGTGGGAGGAACTCAGAGGGAGAGATTGGGGGGGGCTCTGTCAGCTCTGTCCTGACACCCATTGCTACAACAGCTCCGAGGCATTCCTAAAGCAACCCCTGCTGCTGTTGTGCCCAGTTCCATTTTGGTAGCAGTGTTAACTGGATCATTAGGATGCCTGGTTTCTATGATCATTTTAGCATGCTGCTGCTGTTTTCCTGAGGAATGCGAGGGACAGAAAGGAAAGGGTGATATTGAAGAATTCATAACTTAGCAAACTCTGAACAGAAGTTTACAGAACAAAGAAAATGAATGTATTTACCCCAGAGATTTTTCCCTAGCTAAATTTTTAAAATATGCTGCAAAAATGGCGACATTATGGCTTATCTCCTCCTTTCCCCCCACAAAAAATATCTAGGAAGTGTTATATCACTAAATAGTTGCTACCAGCTCCTCAATATAATGTAAAAGGAAATGGAGAGTTAATTTCATTTTATATTCTTCCAGTGATAGTTCCTGGTACCCTAAATTGTTATCCAATATCACTGAAGGTAAAAAGTTAACACCCTTCTATTTCTGAATTTCCTTCTCCCCAGTTTGCAGTCTGCCATTAGCAGCAATAGCATGTATCTTTAGGTCCTCATGAGTAACTCAGTGAAGTGGGAGCTACTCATAACCTTGTGGGGAAAGTAGGGCATCTATATACATTAATTCTGGTTTAACCTGACTGGATGCTTGTCTGATCCACTGAAACCTCAGGGGTGTGACAAAGCTAAACTGGATATCTTGCAAAAATAGCCTCTCTGTCCAACTCTAAGACCTTTTCTTTTTGCAACCCAAAAAGGAAAGGGTCTTCACAGAGGAAAACTGAAGTTAAATATTTCAAACTGTATAAAAAAGTTGGTTTGACTTTTGGACCAAGGTTCAGAAAAGATTCTAGTTTTATTCAGACTTGTTTCCACTGGAGACAGACTAAGAGAAGATGGTACCGGACAGTTCCTGGGAATGTACAGCAAAAACTGGGGCCTCACTACCTAGTATTGTTGAATCCTGTCCTGCTCATGCTTTCCAACATAGCACTCTAACAGCACAGGTCAGGCCAGAACACTCACCTGGGAAGCTGAAGTCCAGCTTCCCCTCACCCAAAGGAGGGATTAAACCAGAACATTTTTTCTTCAAAGCACAGCACAGCACTAACTACAACAGATGAACCGTCATTTGCTTCCTTCTCCAGTGTTTCTTTTGAAGCTGGGCCATGAACATAGCCATTGAGAAAATGGGTGGAAGCTTCTGCCTGACCAGGGAAAAGGGCAGAGGAAGAAGCCAGGCCCCTCCCTCCCAGACCAGCAGCCACCTCTAAGGCACCCCCC